TTTTCCTAGAAAAAAATGGCACTGGTTATAAGGCAGCTTCCTCTGTTTAAGGAAGGTGTTCTTTGAAGGTTAGCTGATCCCAGCCTGCTTGAACGTTCAAAAATTGAGTCATTCAAAAGTGCAGGACCTTCCTTCCCTTGCAATGACACAAGCCCTTTAAAAATACAGTGAAAGTAAATAGCTAGCCAGCTGCAAGTAGAGTAAAAGTAGACAGGAATTCAGAGTCAACCCTAACATTAAGGTAAAGGTAAAGGATAAGGACTCCTGGATGGTTAAGTCCAGTCAAAGGTGACTATGGGGTTGTGGTGCTCATCTCGCTTTCAGGCTGAGGGAGCCAGCGTTTGTCCACAGACAGCTTTCTGGATCATGTGGCCCGTATGACTAAACTGCTACTTGTGCACAGATGACCATGATGGAAGCCAGAGTACACGGAAATGCCGTTTACCTTCTCACCACAGTGGGAACCCTAACATTAGGCAGAGAGAGAGAGACAACCACTCCAGGCAGCTGATTTGAGGTGAGATGAAAGGACAGTTATTTAATTGATTGTTATTGTATTTTTACTCTCAGAAAAAGGAAGACATTTGTGGGGTTTTCTGCTTTGGGTGCCAAAATAGCTTGACTGGTCTTAGGTACTTTGACTGGGAGTGGTGTGGCATGTGTAACTCTGCCTCTGGCAGCAAGTTTTCTTGACCCTGCCCCAGATACATTGGGTCACATCTGATTAAGTTCTACTCAGAGCAAAGCACACTGAAATTGATGCAGCAAACTAAGTCATGCTCATTAATTTCAGTGGATCAGCTCCGAGTGTGACTCACATGAGGTACAACTCAAAGGAAGGAAACAGCTGGAACTGGCTTGCTTATATAGCTGAGCAGGCAGCATATTCCACATGGAAGACTCTCATCCATCTTCCTGCATATAATGTACTAAGCTTGGATCCTAGAATAATAGGCAGGTAGAATCCTAGAAGGCAGCAACCTGATTGGTCTGCAGGGGCTGGCCAATCCGACTCCAGGAGGAAATGAATCAGCAACCGGATTGGCCTGCAGGAGCAGTCCAATCAGGCTCCAGGAGGGAAGTTGAATCAGCCAATCATGCGAGACCCATTGTGTAAATAATGTACATATAGCCAGAGGTTTGGGGGGAAATCACTCACTCACTGTTTCAGGCTGAGGGAGCCAGCATTGTCCACAGACAACTGAAATAAAGAGCATGAAATCAACACTTAACTCTGAGTATATTTTACTCCAACAGGTTAGGCACCATAGCAACCCATTGCACTCCCTCCACAAGACATATATGACACCAAAGTAAAATCCAAGAGGCCTCTCTTCATGCAGCTATTAATTGTCAGGTACGTAGCTGACGTTTGAAAAATACATTTGGAACATGTCCTAGAACATACAGCTAAGCCTCTAATTTATCTCTCAGAAGATGAAACTCATCAAGCAACTGGGACAGAGAATTGGATAGCTATAAATAAAAGTTATTATTGTCTTTGCTCAACTTCCTGAGCAGTGCCTGTTCGACTCATTGGAATTGTTGCAGAAGTATATCCCTAAATCTTCTGTCAGTGCTTTACATCTAACAAGTGGATGACGGATTGTTTTGAATTCATTAAAAACAAAAATATTTTGTGCATCATGCCTTGTTGTCTTAGGTTGTGTGGTGTCTCTTATTGATAATTTGAAAATCTGCATTGCAATTCTCTCACTGTTGACCCCATAGTATGTCCCACTAAGCCCATTGGTGCTTACTGCCTGATAAGTGGGGATAGGATCACTTCAGATCTAACAACAGTGCCAAAATAGGAAGGTTGTGTATAGCTATTCAGAAAAGGAAAACAGCTTATTGACAGGACACGTACTATGTATGTCTCTTTTTGGATCCCTGGCATCTTCACTGAAGGCTGGGAAAAGACATCTGTCTGAACCCTTAAAGAGGCACTGCTTTTCAGCATAGACGATGCAAAGCTAGCAGACCAGTAGTATGACTTGGTATAAGCAGCTTCCTGTATTCTCAGGAATAGGCAGCTGTCTCTTATGGGGATCGAACCTGTGGCCTTGGTGTTATCAGCACCATGCTCTAATCAACTGAGCTACCCAGCAGTACAGTAGTATATTTGTTTAGTCGTTTAGTCATATCTGACTCTTCGTGACCCCATGGACCAGAGCACGCCAAGCACAGTAGTATATATCCCTATATATTTCCACTTATCCTTGGTGCCAACTTCTCCAGATGATTGAGGGGGCCCGACAAAACCTCACACGACTTTGCGAGGAGCCAGAGGGCAGAGTCAAACTCCCTCTGAAAATTGGAAACCTCTCAAAAAATACATCAGGGGGCCAAAATTGCTTTGGCAATGGCACCTATGTCATTTATGAAGTCTGTACAATACCATGCTGTTAGACTTATAGCCACTAATTCACAAAATACCTCATTGCCTCAACAGTGTATACAATATCAACGTTATCACTGCATAGCTGGTTTTCCCATAAAGGTAAAGGTAAAGGGACCCCTGACCATTAGGTCCAGTCATGTCCGACTCTGTGGCTGCAGCGCTCATCTCACTTTATTGGCCGAGGGAGCCAGCGTACAGCTTCTGGGTCATGTGGCCAGCATGACTAAGCCACTTGAAATGCCACTGAAATGCCATTTAACTTCCTGCTGGAGCGGAAGTTATCTACTTGCACTTTGTGCTTTCGAACTGCTAGGTTGGCAGAGGCAGGGACTGAGCAACAGGAGCTCACCCCATCACGGGGATTTGAACCGCCGACCTTCTGATTGGCAAGTGCTAGGCTCTGTGGTTTAAGCCACAGTGCCACCCGCGTCCCATTTCCCAGCAACAATATCTTCTTAGAGAGAGAATCTTATACAAATAAGTGCACCTTGTGCAGTTCAAGGCATGTTTTCTCAGAAGCATATCTCACCGAGTGCAATGGATCTTACTCTCTAGTAAATGCACTTAGGATTATCCCCATTCTTCTACAAATAGGAATATCAATATAGTGCATGACCTGCTAGCCGTTAGGTTATCCCTAAAGCTGTGATAAATCCCACTGTTCTAAGAAGCTAAAGCAACTGTGTTCTCCAAAGCTTTCGAGCCTTCAACATATTAGGAGAGCTTAATTAATGTCACTGCCAAAAAGATAGCCAAGGCAGAAATTATGCACTAAAAATCTTTATTGCACTATCACATTAACCAAGCATATATCTTATAGGCAGAAACATAATGTGTTCCTCATGGAACAAATACAGGAGACTACATTTGTGGTTTAAAACGCCACAACTTTGTTTAACTTATCAAGGAGCGTCAACTGCATCTAAGTTTCTCCATCCATTCTGCAAACCCAAGGAAAAACCTAGGAGAAACCTCCTGGTGTCTTCTTTAGTAGGGAGGTACCACCCTGACTCCAGACACCAGATTAGTCAGTTATTTGATATCTGCACTTCTTTGTCTCCTCAGTTTAAAGATGAGTCAATGAGGCACTTGGCTGTTTCACCCAACCCAAGCTAGACAGCTTTAGGTAGGACCTGAGAGGATCGCCTTCACCAGTTCTCCTTGAGCTACATGGTAGTGAGAGGTTTATTGGGGTAAGCCACTCAACATCATCAAGATGTGTCAGCATGTTCACCATGGCAACTAATATCAACTAACTCTGGGCTTTAGGCAGAAAGGCCCAGATCTCAGTAGCAGAGTATATGCTTTCAATGTAGAAGGTCCCAAGTTCATCTGCCAGCATCTCCAACTTGGACCAGGGGAGACCCCAGTCTGTAACCCCAGTCAATGTAAACAACACTGAACTAGATGGACCAACTATCTGACAGCTTCTTATGGCTTCCTCCCTTCAACCACCATGTTGGATAGTTGATAACTTCTGGAGGCGTCTGAAGTCTACAAATGTTGAGGTGCCAGTGTTGCCTTTGCAAGGTTATGAGGGCTCAGCTTTTATTTCTTTTACCTCCCTTTCCCCCCCCCCCAAATAAAATAAAATGTTTTTCCAGCAGTTCAAGTAGCAGCCTAGACATGTTCCTAGGACAGATTGTCATGGGAATGATACTAAGTTATGACACCCCAGTGATATGCTTGGAAAATAAGATTGCTGCCTCCTTGGTTTTATTTTTTTTCCCTGTGAAAGAGCTGATAATGCCATCTCAATAATAATAATAATAATAATAATAATAATTAATAATAATAATAATAATGTGCAGTGTGCATGCGTCATTACTTTAGAAGTGGGTACACATGCACACACACACTTTCAAGGAGAACAGTCCTGTGAATGTGTTTGGATGTGTGTGCAAGAAATTCAGCCTGATGGCAGATTTAGGATTCCCCCACCCTCACCCCTTACCAACCGGGCATTGTTACCTAGCTTTTGAAAATCTATCACAACATTTATTTATTTATTTGTTGTTGTTGTTCTTGTTGTTGTTTAAAAAAAATATGTTTCTTTCTAGCAAGAAGGAGACAGAAAGAGCAAGAGGGGAGCTTGAAAAATAATTGACTCATAAAAAATACAAGCACAAATAATTGAATGTCATACTTTGACAAATTCCGGTTCTGCGAGTCCCCAAATATCAAATGCAAGTGTTTGTTTTTCCTCTTGCTTGACTTTGGTAGTTAGAGCCACAAACATGAGACTCATTAGGGTCATTGCAGCATCTCGTCGTTCAGCTCTCCTCCTTGCTGCTTGACAACTTTGGAAAACATTTTAATAAAGAAGCAATTTTGCTAATCAACTGTTTCTTTCAGACTCATCAGCTCTAATTAGAAAGTTACTGTCAAGCTACAAGAATAAATCCTTACCTTGACCTTTATGTAATTGAAATATAAATAACTTTAAAAAGCTGGATAGTGTTTCAGCTGTGATCAGGCTTCCTTTGACATTTCGCTCCGTCATGAAAGGCTACCTTCTTCCCGCCTCCTGCCCCGCTCCCCAATGCACAAACATTGAAATACTTAAAAAATAAAAACAATAAACTCTTTATTAGTGATCTCCAGGGCAGATGATTAAGAAAAGGCACAGAGTCTACACTGGGCATCAAAATGGTGTGCGGATGGACATTTTGTTAATTATATCTTCATGGGTTCTTCACAAGTTGTACGAACCACCAAATATTCAACTGCAAGCTGACTGGGAACCTCAGGTCCAGGGGCTGATTGTGCACCTCACAGCTCCTCTAGCTGGCCCTCAAGACTCTCCCCAGACTTCCTTTACCTCTGATCAGCACTATCTTTAGTATATGCGCTGCTGGACTGCAAAGACATAATATTTTGATGTAAGAGTTAATTTCACGTGCATGGCGCTGTTGAGAATGACAAGCACCATTGTTGGGTCTGACAAGCACCACCGTTGTGAGTGACAATTGCCACTGCTGGTGCAGTGCAACTTTGGTAAATGAGCACACAAAGTCGAAAGTCCTTTAGTGAAACAGTAGGTATACATTTTGGTAATACCTAGGTATATATGTAAGGGACGCGGGTGGCGCTGTGGGTTAAACCACAGAGCCTAGGACCTGCTGATCAGAAGGTCGGCGGTTTGAATCCCCGCGATGGGGTGAGCTCCCTTTGCTCGGTCCCTGCTCCTGCCCACCTAGCAGTTCGAAAGCACGTCAAAGTGCAAGTAGATAAATAAGTACCGCTCCGGCGGGAAGGTAAACAGCGTTTCTGTGCACTGCTCTGGTTCGCCAGAAGCGGCTTAGTCATGCTGGCCACGTGACCAGGAAGCTGTACGCCAGCTCCCTTGGCCAATAAAGCGAGATGAGCGCCGCAACCCCAGAGTCGGCCACAACTGGACCTAATGGTCAGGGGTCCCCTTTACCTTTACCTAGGTATATATGTATTTTGTTTTTCTAGCTTGATCAAAATTATTTATTATTTTATAACAGGTCGATAGTTAAGAGCTTAGGCTGCTTCGGTGGCTGGCGCCTGGCACCCCCTAGAATTTGGCGACCGGGTGCCCCTCACCACTTGCACCCCCGTGTAAAGACGGCCCTGACTCTGATAACGTCCCTTGCTTGCCTGTATGGAAGATGGGGGGATTTCTTTTTTTTTTATGATATTTATTGAAAATTTTTGAATTACAAAAGAAAACAAAGAAGAAAAAGAGAAAGAAAAAACAAAGAAAAAACAAACCACAGTCAAACATTACAGATTAATAAAAATCAAAATCAAAAAATAGCACAACACGCTAAAAAAATAAAAATATACCACAAACATTTAAAAACAAATCCAATATTCTCAAATCCTTAACTGTCATTACCTTCTTTCTTTGACCTCCTCCTCCTCCCTTTTTTTGTATCCTGGTTATTAATTGTCGCAGCAAATCCTTTCCATACTTCAGAATATTCTGTCATTACTTTACCTTACTCTATTTTAATCTTATCTTACTATAAAAACCTTAAAGCTTAAAACTTAAATCTTATTTTTACCAATTTCTCATAACCATAATATTCTTACATAATTCTTTAAATATTTTTGCTAAAGCCAAATAATTTCGTTCCAACATTTTTCTAACACTCATCAATTTTATAAAACAATCCTAATAAAAAAGTAACAAAAAAGAAACAATCCAATCTTCATCCAGCGTCTCTTCCTCCTGGTCCCGGGTTTTGTCAGTCCTTTCTATCTCATCAATCTAGCGGATTAACCTGGCAATCTTATGTCCGAGGCCCTTAAGTCCCTTCCATGTCCCTTCCGCAGCTCTTCTTCATATTTATAGCTGTATTTTCCTTTATCTCCTGCTCCTTTCACTCTTGGGAACTCCAGCTTGACAGGAAGATGGGGGGATTTCTGAGAAGGATCTAGCCTACTGTGCAAAGTTAAAATTCACTTTCATTGTTCTGCTCGCATTTGCCTCCACTCTGTCAACTACTGGCATGTCATCCAAGAAGGTTGTCCACAATGGAATGTAGCTCTCAGGTGGAAAAGATTTCTTCATTGCTTCTAAACCTACGTAGTCCTGAGTAAGTCCCACTGAACTCAACAGATGTTGCATCTAAATAGGTGTGCATACTGCTGTTAAAATTGCGCTCTAGGCAAACATCGTTGGCAGTTTTAGTCCTCGGCCTTATTAATCTTGCCCACCATCATTTCTCCATCAGCCCGGAGAACCAGTGGTTTTGGCCTGTATTAATGTTTTCTGTGAATCCCAGACATGGGACTTATTTGTTTAGGTAAGCATTTATATGCTGCCTATCTAAAAGGAGTTTTCCCATAGTAGCTTATAACTGATATAATACATACTTCCAAGACAAACACTGAATTTAAAAAACGATTAAAAACACACACATAAAGCAAAGCCTTAGGGACCCTGCCATCTTCCATTCTGTGGACATGACCAAGCCAGCAAAAGTGTTGCTGAGATAACTCTTACTGCCTAGTTATTAATATAAATATTTTTAAAAAATAAAGTTTCCCTCATCCACTCTAGACCTCGTGCTTTTACCCATTTTCAGGTAACCTCCCCAATCCCAGCTGCTGCTGCTGCTGCTGCTGCTGCTGCTTCTTCTTCTTCTTCTTCTTCTTCTTCTTCTTCTTCTTCTTCTTCTTCTTTCCAAGCCCATCTGGGCGGCTCCCAACAGAAAATTAAAAACACGATACAATATCAAACATTAAAAACTTCCCTATCCAGGGTTGCCTTCAGATGACTTCTAAAAGTCAGATAGTTATTTATTTCCTTGACATCTGATGGGAAGGTGCCACTACCGAGAAGGCCCTCTGCCTGGTTCCCTGTAACCTCACTTCTTGTAGTGAGGGAACTGCCAGAAGGCCCTTGGAGCTGGACCTCAGTGGCTGAATGATGGGGGTTGGGATGTTCCTTCAGCTATACTATTATGACTCACTTACCTGCCACATATCACCAGTTTTCTGATTGCCCACAAGACACTAGAAGAAGTTAAGTGGTTTCTCTTTTACTCACCTTAAAATAGTAAAGTCTTTGCAGGTAGGCTTCCCTCGGATCCGCCCCTTGCCCATTTAAGCAGCCCGCACCTGGGGAACTACCTGTTTGTTGCTTTGCCAGGATTTTGCGTGGATCTCCATCAGACTCCTGCGTCGCCGCTCTGATCTTCCCTTCTGTATGTCCTTGACCTCGTCTCTGGGATCTCCTCCGCGCCTTCCTCGCCGTGCGCTGGACCTTCGTAGCGATCGCCAGCGGCAGCATCCAGCGGCCATCGTGATTCTAAGAATTTATATGCTGCCTATCTAAAAGGAGTTTTCCCATAGTAGCTTATAATTGATATAATACGTACTTTCAAGACAAACACTGAATTTAAATAACACTTTTTTTAAAAAAACAACAACATGCTTTAAGGACTGTATCCAAGTTAACTGCGAGATATTAAATGGTTGGAAGTAGTATAGTGACCTGTAAGAGGAGTCCAGTTTTGAAGTCAATCCTTTCTGTATATCTAGGAACTGCTTTTCATTTACTCACTGGGGTTTCAGAAAGCAGAAAAAGAGAAATTTGAGTGATGAGCAAAATAAATAAATAAATAAATAAATAAAAATGCTTTAAAAAATGTCACCCCAAGTACATATTCACATTTACTTTGGAGTAAGCTCCATTTAACTCATTGGGACTTCCTACAAGTAAATATGAATAGGAGCAAATTGTATGTCAAAGGGAAGTTTTAAATGCAGCACACACACAAACGAAAATCCTGAAAGCAACAGAATTGATCATATTAAAATACCAATGAATAGAGAGTCATTTGAGGTCACATGGGGAGAAGACATCTTTGTAGCACACAGTTGGTCTGCCAATGAGCCTGGTGCCTGAAGCCAGCTCCCCATAAGAACACATCCTTAGGGACCCTGCCATCTTCCATTCTGTGGACATGACCAAGCCAGCAAAAGCGTTGCTGAGATAACTCTTACTGCCTAGTTATTAATATATATTTTTAAAAATTAAAGTTTCCCTTGTCTACTCTAGATCTCGTGCTTTTACCCATTTTCAGGTAAGCCTGCTTGTCCCTCAAGTAACTTCCCAAATCCCAACTAATAATAATAATAATAATAATAATAATAATAATAATAATAATTGTTACTTATACCCCACCCCTCTGGCCAGGCCTCCCCAGCCACTCTGGGTGGCTCCCAACAGAATATTAAAAACACAATAAAACATCAAACATTAAAAACTTCCCTATCCAGTGCTGCCTTCAGATGTCTTCTAAAAGTCAGATAGTTGTTTATTTCCTTGACATCTGATGGGAAGGTGGCATTACCGAGAAGGCCCTCTGCCTGGTTCCCTGTATCCTTACCTCTCGCTGTGAAGGAACCGCCAGAAGGCCCTTGAAGCTGGACCTCAGTGGCTGAACGATGGGGGTGGCGATGCTCCTTCAGGTATACTATTATGACTCACTATTATGACTCACTATTATGACTCAATTACCCAGATGAACCTCCTACATGTCACCAGTTTTCTGATTGCCCACAAGACCCTAGAGCAAGTTAAATGGTTTCTCTTTTACCCACCTTAAAATAGTAAAGTCTTTGCTTGTGGAAAAATTGCTGTAGCTATCAGTGGTGTTTTTCTAGAAAAAGACGTGCCGGAACTCACCATGAATGCCTCCCTTGTTCTCTTATAAAAGGTAAGGTAATGGCAATGGCGCCCACCTGAGAGATGCCAGAACTGAGTTTCAATGAATTCCGGCTGAAAGAAAGCCCTGCCTATCATACCAAAAGTTGTCAGGCTTTATCATCACAGAAGGGCCAACCATGTCTACAAAGTACATCCAATTCTGTGAGAAAATAGAGATGTGTGTGTGTGTGCGCGCGCATGCGCGTGCGCACACACACGTGAAAAATACCTCACACAAAATCCTCTCAATGGATTTGCCTGAAATTTGTGGAAGAGCCACTCTCCTTGCGAATTTCATTCACTTAACTAAAAAAGGGAGGTGTTGTTATAGCCATTTTTAGATTCCTCATTATAGCTTATGGGGATAAACAGCTTTGAATTTAACACTTCCAGTTTGGATTTGAATAACCAATCAAATCGGAAAGAAGCAGTTGCTTCCCAATGCTACAGATACTAGGCGACTCTTGTTCTAAACTTGGTAACCTCATAGCACGCCTTTGCTGTTTTGTTGTTAATATTTCCATTTTTCAGATGGAGAGCTGAATTTAACACATTGTGTTATCCCAGTAACTGAAACGGAAGTTTCTTTTTTCATACAACTCTTTGGGGTTTGTCAAACCATACCCAGAATTATATGACTGTCCCAGCGTACTAGGGAGGAGATGAAGAGCTGTGGTGATAATATAACATAGAAGACTCAGCTCCAATTTGGAATTGCCATTGAAATTTAGCAAAAGTGGGGGTTTTCTGCAGCTACTACAACAGTATCTGCTGAAAAAGAAAGATCCATTCTACATTCTTCTTAAACATTTCGCGTTTCATGTTTAACGCAAAGGCATTATCACCTTTGCTTTATTTTTTATTGCCTCCAGAGTAAACTATTTCTAGCAATATCAATTTGTGCCAAGTGTGGTGAGACCTTCTTGTGGTAAATCTCAGTTTGTGGCCTCAGTGGCTGGGGAAGGGCTCTCTCTTTCTTAATCTTATACACACACACAACATTTTGACATAATTCTGCATAGCTCCACTTATTGGGTTACATTTCTCTTTCTTTCATATCAGTCACCTGTTTGGTTTCTTATTTACAAAAAGATAAGCCAGCCTGGGGAATGCAAATGAATTTGGGCAACAAAGGGCATTTAAGAAAAAGCAATGATGGTTTTTCTTTCAAATGTAGTTAAATTATATATTATAAATACTCACCCTTATCACAATTCATTACTAAATAGAATTATCATGAGATTTGAAAGTTCTAATTATAAAAACCAATCAAATCTGTACTATCATTGCCTCTAACCTGCATAATAATTGTTTTCTTAATTTAATACTTTTTTTCTACTTAGAGAATTTGTTATTGCTGTATAATAATAAAAAAGCTTGCTTTAAGTATGCTATCTCAGACTTTCTCATGTGCAGTATGAATCTTACCGGTTTTTAACCCTATGGTTTGCATTTACAACACAAGTGGAAGTCTCATCTGTTACCAGGAGTGTCATGGAAACAGCTGCCAGCAACATCTAAAGGGGACATGAGTTGCAGAAGGCTATCCTCATCTGAACCTTTCTATGAATTCACATCTAGGCTCTCTTCCTGATGTGATTTTCCCCTCCCCCATGCATGTCACTAACCAATCACAGCCGGTTTTGTTTTGGCATGGGAGCATCTGTGGCTGGAGATCAGAATGTTTGTAGCAAATGCTTCTTTTGGATAGTGTTAAAATTAGCTATTGAGGAAATCTCGGCTATATTCAGAAATCCAACAATATTCTACATCTGAACAGATTCTGTTCAGGTGAAAGGGGGACACAAAGCCAAGGATTGGGGCAATACGTGCGGCAAATGATTACGTGTCCTGGGTCTGTTTTTCAATAATGTGAAAAAATGCTTGGGGAAGTAAATGTGATTAGGGAGTTTTAAATGGCTGCTCTTTAAGAAAGGTTTTGTTCTATTCACCAGTTTGGAAAAGCATTCTTTCTGCACCACCAGGAGATTTAGCTTTCTTTTTAAAATCAACACTTACCTCTGTCAAGCGTATAATTTGTTTCAGTCTCTCCCTCCCCCCATTCATTTTTATTTTTTTTTGATAACATGCTTTACAAGTTTGATATTGATTACATGCTCATTTTTTAATGTGTTACCAATGGTGGGTCCAAAGCAATTATTGTTCTAAATAGGCAGAGTGTAAATGTTCTACATTATTTGCATCGGTGGTTACAGAACAGCACAAATGTCCCCTTTTCTGTTTAGCCAAAGCTCTATCTTGAAAGACTTCCTATTTGGTCTGCTTTATGTTTTCCAACTACGTGGAGAGAACGGCTGGTCAGAGTCTCTCATTAGAAGCCTGTCTGATTTAATTAATCTTTAATTCTTGTGCAAAACCAATGAAAGGATAGGTTCGATCAGTAAAATTCATTTGCAACATTTATCAACTGGCTGATCTTTATCAGCCAACCGAATGACAGTAAATCAAATGTGTGCTCCTTTTCGATTCATAGACTAAATAATTAAAGTCCCCATAAAGTCCCTGTCCTAAGTAAATCTAATTGTGGATAAATTAAAGCGGAACTCAGTTTTCATAGCCAATCACTTTTGGTGCAAAAATGGAGGGAATACAGGGGCTCCACTGCCACCCACCAAAGAGGAACAGTGGAAAGCGTGTTCTCCATAACAGAGAGCACATGTTGCGGTGGGGGCCAAAAAGGCCACCCCACTGTTGTCGGGCAAATTGGCCACATGCTGTGATTGGGCAAGGAGTGTTGCTGGGGAGAATGTTATGTTGCTAAATTGTGGGAGGGGTCAGAGGTCTTAAATACAGGGCTCGCAGCCTGGGGCCTTCTCTTGGGCTGCGTGCACCGGATCACCCGCCCACCCTCCCTGAAATGGGGAGGTCCATTGTCCTCTGACCTGGCTATGCCTGTCATGGGGTCGTCTGCCTTGGGGCAGGGGCCTGGTAGAAATTTTGTCCATTTGGCTGATTGGCTTTTGCCATTTGGTTTTTGCCTACTGCGTAGCAAATCGTCACAACTTGTAAGGTTGGCGGTTAGGCCTTGGTTAAAATTGGTTGGTGGAGGGGTAAGTGCCTACCCTTCCAATGGTGGTGCTGCATAGGGAATTCCGTTAAAGGAATCCAGGGGCTTGCCATCCCTTTCGTCCTAGTCCCTGGCATCGGATTTGGGCTGTGCTAGCCCCAGGGGGCATGAGGGTGAGAGATGAGGGACTGATGCCCAGCTTCATTTCTCACCAATATGGTTCTCCCTGACTGGCTTCCGCTGGAATCCGGAAGTCAGTTCTGTCCCTGGGGCAAGGACAGATAGTCATAACCAATGCCTAAGCAACCACTCACATGTGTGTATTTAAATAAAGTTGTGGCCAAATTCATCCCAAAAACCTTAAACAAAAATTGACGTGTGATGTGTGAGTTATTGGGGTGGCTTGGGGGACTTCGACGCACAAGATGGGAAAGCCCTGCCAGAACCATGTGCGTTGCCCAGAGTGCCTTGCTGCAAGAACAGGACGGCGAGGTAACACAACGGCGCTCCTGGCTTCATGTTTCTCTCTCTCTCTCTTTTTTTTAAATGATATTTATTCCAAATTTAAAGTTACAGAAAAAAGAAGAAAAACCATACAAAATACAAAGAAAATTTTAACCATAACAAAGCAAAAGATAAACGAATAAAAAGAACAATAAGATAGAATAAAAAAGGAGACTTAACAAAAAATATAAAAATACATTAAGTTAAAATAAAACAAAAGCAGATTAAACCTTTACATAACCTTTTCCCTTTACTTATTTCCATGACCTCCTCTCACCTCCCAATTTTGTATTCTAGTTCAAATCGTGTTTCCAGCAAATCCTTCTAACCTTATTTCATTTACGTATTTTGAAATTACAGTAATGTGATTAGACCTCCTCTAATTCATCGATTTCATCAACTCATTTTTGCTTAGTCCATTATATCATATCTACCAGAACGACCTAATATTCTTTTTCCAACCTCCTTCTAACATTCTTTTATATTGCAGTACTTTTGAAGATATATTTTGATTTTTTTCCAATCTTCTTCCATCGACCCTTCTTCCTGGTCTCGAATTCTGCCGGTCATCTCCGCCAGTTCCATATAGTCCATCACTTTCATCTGCCATTCTTCTCGGGTAGGCAATTCTTGTGTCTTCCAGTACTTCCCGATGAGTATTCTTGCTGCTGTTGTAGCATACATAAAGAAAGTTCTATCCTCCCTTCGCACCAATTGGCCGACCATGCCCAGGAGAAAGGCCTCTGGTTTCTTCAGAAAGGTATATTTAAATACCTTTTTCAGTTCATTTTATATCATTTCCCAGAAAGCCTTGATCCTTGGGCATGTCCACCAAAGGTGAAATATGTACCCTCCGTCTCTTTACATTTCCAACATTTGCTATCTGGCAAATGATAAATTTTTGCTAGCTTGACTGGGGTTAAGTACCACCTGTAAATCATTTTCATTATATTTTCTCTTAAGGCATTACAAGCCATAAATTTCATACCTGTGGTCCATAACTGTTCCCAGTCAGCAAACATAATGTTATGTCCAAAATCTTGTGCCCATTTGATCATAACCGATTTGACCGTTTCATCCTGTGTATTCCATTTCAACAGCAAGTTATACATTCTTGATAAATTCTTAGTTTTAGGATCTAACAATTCTGTTTCCAATTTTGATTTTTCCTCCTGGAAACCAATCTTTTTATCTAAATTATAAGCCTCCCTTATTTGATAGTAATGAAGCCAATCTCGGACTTTAGTTTTTAATTTATCAAAACTCTGCAGCTTTAGTCT